AACTGAAAACGTCCGAAGAACCATTCATGAATCAAAAGGTATCAGCGGATGTAGTAGGCTTGGCATACATTTTTAAATTGGTATTTGCGCCACTACTGCAGAAATTAAAATAGCGTCTTATCAGAAACCAAACACAAAAATGGAAGGAGTGATGTAATGGCCTATTTTTTCCTTTTTTCCGTTTGTGAGAGAAGCGGGTGGATGAATTTTATTTTATGAAAAAATACAGAGAAAACATAAAATTATCCACACAATTTATATGAACGTACTTCTAAATTGTCCAACATTTTCTGGAAATAATTTTCGGAAATATTCATGAAAAATTGGGCCGCGTGGAAATCAGACACCTTTCGTATTAAAAGTTTAAAAAATGCGAGTAGAGAAAGTTTCAAAAAGACCCTCGCACATGGAACGTCTGCCTTGTCTTCGAATTCAGTTACCGCTCCTGAGGAAGGAGTCGCGATGCAGCTGCGGCTGTCGTTGGAGTTGAAAGCCTCGACGGCACGAACATCGGCAACATTCCTTTGAAAAATGACCCATCCGCAGGAAACCCTCGTCGGATACACGATTCAGTACTGTACAATTATAGTTCAGCGGTTGAAAACGCATCATGAAATTTGTGGCATCCAGGAATTTTCTGAAGACGCATACGTATATTGACAGCTTTGCGACTGATGCCTTTCAAAATTCCTCAGAAGATAGCGCGGACCTCATCGAGGAGTAAACCGAAATATCCAACAAATAAATGACATGCGAACAATTTTCTGAAATTTGTGCCGTTGTTGAAATAATATATTTTTGAGTTACTGCAATTCCTCTTTTCACGCAAAATTGACAATGCATTTTTTATCACACAGATTTGATTATACAGTACGTGAAAAGTTTTCAACGCTTCTCGGATTCTCAAATCCGGAAAGTGTTCGGAAATTTTCAACTACTGTACAGTACTTCATATTAAATTATGCACTTAGATATCTTTTCATCATCAATCTGGTACACGTGAACAACTCAAAAAAACATCCAAAAATTTTTTAAGGTGTTGGGCATATTTAATTCATCAGAACTAAGACGCTTCAACGTATGCAAAACAACCTTCGGGCAAATAGCATCCAACGGAGACGCATTTTTTAAATTTTTACAATCGCTCTAGTCAGATTTTTAGAAATGAAATTCAGAATTGAATTGGTCTCAGGAAAAAATTAATTCAACCCAATTCCTGGAGCCCGTAGGATCACGATAGAAAACCATGGAAATGTGCATGAACAAACCTTTTCTGCGTAACTTTTTAAATGGTGCGCAGTTGGAATCAAGGCGATTAGAATATAATGAATTCATACCGTTCAATTAGACTGGTTAATTAGAAGGTCACATCTATAAAAATAATTCGACTCTTGCTTCAGAATTGTCCTTCATTTTGGGGCATCTTCGGCAGAGATGCTGGAAATGTGCTTGGAGAGAAACGATATCCGACGAAGAACCTAAAAGAGGAAAGCACCCAGACACATACGAAGACGATTACTCACATTTTTTTTTATAGCTGAAATGAATTTGCGTCACTTTCGGAACATCTCTTTCTTGCAATAAATGTGAGCATGTTTTACATCAGGGATGCTCAACATGTAATGAACGAGCTTTTAACCAGTGATCGGATAATGGCTGAATTAACTTCTTGTAGCTTTTGATCGTCAAATATCAATTATAGAAATCATTTTTGATGTGAGAAGACTGCAGTTTCTTTTAATTGACTCCCAAATTACTGTAATGTAATAATTGAGAAAATAAGAGCGATGTTCCGAGAGAAAAACAATGTGATCCAGTAAAGGGTTAGATTATGAACTTTTTTGCAGGTTCATTTCCTCATCGATTTTCTGCTCGTTGTTCCACATCCTTTCACAGTAGGGAAAAAAAATTTTAGTCTCGCAAATAACTTCTATCACATTAGAGAAATCGTTCATCATGAAAAGCTACTGAAATCGGAAACTTCCCAGCTAGAAGTCGGCTACATAAGATTCACGGGGTCTGTAGCAACTAAGCATATGCTTCCCCGGGCGACCATACATCGCGATTTATTCGGCAGCCCACCGGCGCTGACAAAGCGGCCGGGTTAATCCTCGAAGGAAGAACCCACTCATACACCTGAATATGCATTTCCGGCATGTGCATCGCTCGGAAAGGCAAGGTGGGCCCCATTGACATTTACCAGACGTTCAAGTTCAGCGTTGTTCCGTCTCACATCAGCGCTCCCGAGAACGTGGAAGCGGAGAAATCGAGAATGAATTTCGAACGCAGCGCTCACGTCCAGAAGAATGCGCGTTTTCTGATGCCCCGTTCAACAGTGTCACCCAAGAAAGACCTCTTCGTTGCAGAGAGAAAATAAATCAGAATGTCCGGCACGTGCCGATGCAGTGTGGGGAATTCTGCACGGGATCGGATCTTACCCGAAACAATGTCGTTCATTTCACTGCACGAGAACCCCCTCAACCAAAAGATCCCTCGAAATCATTCATCTCGTGGTATCATGATGATCATAGTCTTGTCATATTCCCACCGTCGTGGAATGTAAAACAAGAAAAATTACTTCAGAGTAGACTCTGGACCCGATTGTGTGAGATTTCCAAAGATTGAAAAAACAGCGCAAAATACCAGAAGTACCCGAAGAGTTGCGAGCCCAAGAAACTTATTCAGAAAATACGCAGAAAAAATTCCGCTTTTTCAGTAAAGTACACTAAATCCTCTATTTCTCACGCATTGCAATTAAAACGTTCCAAATGGGGGCAAAATTTAGACGCTCAACATCTTGCAAGTTATTCCAGGCAATCTATGGCTTGAGGCTATCAAGAAATATAATTTAATTTTTACACAGCTTTCCTGCAGCTTCAGCACGGCCAATCTTTAAAGGCATTGTTCACACCAACAACAGATCGGTTAAGCATCGTCGTACGGCGTCGTATTCTACTGTACAGTAATACCATGCGTACAATCTACATTGGGCTTTCAAGAAATATGCGTGAATAAGACTTTCTTGGGTATATTTTCGGGACAGGTTCGTGCATTATTCTGCGGCGGAAATATGTTCAAATAATCGATCATTCCGCACTATTTGATCATGTTGATGGATAGGTTTTGAGTCATTCGGTTACTCGGAACAAAACGCTTATAAATCGTATATGATGGAAATTATTCAGTTCTTCACACAGGCTACGATGGAATGGCGTGATTCTGTCTGGAGGGATTTTGGTTCAGCGCCCCATCGTCGACAACAGCAGCATCAGAATGATTGAGAATTGCAGACACGACTCACTCTCCGGATCAAGAGAAATAAAACATGAGCCAGCTGGAATCCTCAATGCAGTGGCTCTTAAATGGGAGGGTGCAACAATAAAATCAACCCGCCGAACTCAATATACCCGGAGAACAGATACGAGAGCCAATAGAACCCGGGGCTCAATTCTGCAGCTGACTTCCACGCGAACGGCAATCTAGCACAATGAAGGATATACAGTTCAGTACATGTATCGGCGTCGAAGCTACGCCTGCTCTAATTTAAATAATGTAAGTTCGCTATTTACTCAGCAGGACCGCGACAGCATGTTCAAAAGCTTTCCACCACGGCATTCACGAAGCCATACGACGCATAAAATCTGCTTTTCTTAGAATGAAAAGATTGAGTTTCGCTAACCGAGTGGTTATTGAAAATGAAACCCGGGATCAAGTCAGCAGTACAGTACATATTTAGAAGGCGTATCTTCAATTGGAAGACAATATTTTCAATATTCCCGAACAACATTTTAAAGAATTTGAATTATTATACCTGTATCCACTTGAACAGTCTCAGAAAATCTCAGCAGAGAGAACATAATTTCTCACTTATACTTGCATCTTCCAGTCTTTCACTTTCGCAAGTAACATGCGGAACGCTGGAGCCAAAAGTATACGGATAAATGTTGATCCGTAAAACGTTCCATGCGCGAATATACCTCTTCATAGGTGAATTCCATGCGCGAATATACCTCTTCATAGGTGCTGAGTGACCTATGAAGATGAAGGCACCAATCCAGTAAAACAACAAGAAAAATTTCGCGCAAATTTGTGTGAGGGAGAAGAGGAGGGGGAGAAGCAGTCAACACCGCAAGGCAGTAAAAGGCTCGTTCGTTGCTCGAAATTTGCATTTTCTCCCCTCAGAAATGTTCTCCGTGAAGTTAGAATTTTCAGGTCACGATTTGAACCAACAGAAATATACCGATATCTATGCATTACATCATATTCATAAAATCCAATCGAAACGTCAGTTGCAGAGGAGGGCAGAAACAATGCGTCTTGAGATGATACTGAAATTCGTAATTCGTTCTCTTTATAACCGCATTATCGCGGAACATTGTTGGCGTTTTCCCGCAGAGCCTGAAATAGGCAAAAGGTTCGATGATGGAAACAGCAACGGGGATTACTAGAAAATCCCGGGGTTAGGCGGGAATATGTTCAGACCGCTGCGGAAGTCCCCGAAGACTCTCCAAGTATGGCGGAAGAACAATGATACCCATCGCAACCGCCGAAATCATGACCATCAAGGAGAATTCTCAGACGGAAAAAAGGTTTGAATTGTCCATGCCGTAACGAATCGAATCGTCACGTTTACAGCTTTGAATCATGCGTAACGCACCTAGATACACTTTTTTAGAAGATACCATTCAAGAAAAATAAAGTCGCAGTCAAATGATTACCTTCTTTCAAATCACACGCGAAGAGTTTAGAAGATTAGTAACGTTTTCGAAAATTACCGGTTATCGTAACTATAAGTGAAAAAATTGTAATAAAACTCACGCAAATCTCCGAAGATGCACTCCTATGAATTCAAGTCCAGACGATCGATTCAAGCAGGATACAGTACTGATTCGATGAATTTCGAACCTCCAAAAATTACACCAGTAACACCACACTTTCGGGGCAGAAATTCACTGATGAGAATTCGATGATCAAAAATATGAAAGAAAATAATAATCCCGTCCAAAGTGGTGCATCAGAATATATTTGGTGACCACTTTATGTTCAACAATTCAACAATTAACAAGCAACAGGTGTGCCGTACATAATAAAAATAGAATTTCACTCAAAAGTAATCCGAAATCGAATCCATTCAGAGAGTTTTTTTCACATTCCACACTACAGATTCTCAGGCCTCCGCATGATTCCGGATCATAAAGCTGAAAACGCACTGACACAGTCTGAGATGTCAGTCTTTCCCATGTTACTGTTATCACTGGCATGCATCACAGGCAACTTCTCAGGTATGATTTCCTCTTAAAATTGTTTACTGCAATATTTTTCCATACAGATTCTTGTTGCTCCTCTGGATAGTTCCATGCTGCTTATTCGGACGGACTTCTCAAATGCATCATAAAACGCATGATCACAGGCGACTTGTTTGTACGGTTCTGTGGTTACAAAATGTTCTTTCTCCCGGACTGAAATCCGTGCAGATAGGCACACACTGTCGGTGCACCCCATCATCGCAACTTTTTCTCAATCGGAATCAGCACTGCAAACTCAAAACCCGAAACAGAATAATTAATACCGCACGATTAAAACTGATTTTTTTGGTATTTCTAGGTAAATCACGCCACATTATCAAGGGTTTGTCTCCTTGGCCTGCAACGGACATCGGACGATTCTTCTCCCAAATCGTCGTCTCCTATTTCATTCTCGAACATTCGGTGCAAAACGGCTTCAACTGATTTCGATCCTTTATACGTAGATAAGAGAAGAAATCTTGATGCCAACAGAAAGCTATGGCTGATTTTCATTATCTCACCGGACAAGTGAAATCGAATTTTTGATTCGTTCGCGACAGCTAAAGAGTCTTGAGCACGACGAATCCACTCCTCATAATCAATGCCTGCGGGTGCGTTTGCTTCGACAAGGGACTCAAACTGACGCGGTTCATGATCGGCATCGAAGGTCTCGTCGTCCTCTTCACCTCCTTCCATATTTTGAAGTAAGGAATCCGGAGGTTTTTTCGAATCGCTCGCGGCGATCCACGTCGGAACACTGCCATGAAGAAATACCCTTCAGTTTCTACGAAATAGCCTACAGAATCCAGTGGCACCCATCTAGATTCTAGAGTATTCCAGCTCATCAAAAGAAAATACAAGGTGAGCTTTTCACTGTAAGCAAAAACAACCTGATGATATTTTTACAAGATACGAAAAATTCAACGTGTGTCAATCAAAAATTTAATAGAAGTACGGCAGAGAATTTCATCGGCAAACACGTGAATTCTGGTTTCTGAGACATAGACAGACCTTCCAAGTCCAAGCCCCATTTCGTTTATCTTCGCCTCCAGTTTGCTTTCCACCGCGTCCTTTGAAAAGCAGGATTCAAGTAAATAGCCCTCGATGACAAATGCCATAAAAATACTGCAAGGAGAACAAGGGTAACGACTACTTTCAGCAAAAATGTGAAGTACCTCTCACTTCAGGATCACCACGACGCAGATCAGATGGAAAGACATGAAGTAAATACGAGCCCATTTACTTGTCACGAGCGAAAATCCTTGCGCAAGAACTGCAAAACGTGGAATTAGCATACGTGAACATCGTATTCAATCAACTATTTCATACCATGCCACTGATTCACGACAGTCAGCTCATATAATATCACGAAAGAACTGGCGATGTCATTAAAATTGTTACTGCAGTACTTCAAAGCTGCGAACGTAGAATTTTCCAGAAGCGGATTCTCGCAGTACGTTGAAGTTTCTCCAGTCAAATAGTTCGACGACTGTATCAACCCAGCGAACAACTCCATTCCAATTATGGCGTACACATAGTAGAAGACCTGATGCGACGTCAGGAACAGGATACGGTATTAATCCAACTTCACAAAAATGTTTCCAACAAATAAACTTACAAATAGAACCGCTCCGTAGATTACAAGCGCAGGGCCTAAATTCATTATAGTTTTGATGATGATCTTAAACCCCTTCACAGATCCTATTAGCTTTACCACTCGGAGTACTCGCAGAACCAGCAAAGCATCAAGTGATGCTCTCGTGTCACTCACTGCAAAATAAAACACGTCAATTACATTCAAAAGTTGAAAAAGTTCACCATTGATACACTTCAAGACAATGCTGATTTTTGAAATCCCAAGACATCCTCAAGCACAGAACATCATAACGTAACGGCTGTACAGTACAAGAATATGTTTATACCCTGCTCAGAAGCTCCGCGAAAGTTTCACAGCTTTTAACAAGTTACCATCGTTCATGACTTTATTTGATTTAAAGATCGAATTACGTACGGCGAAGTTTCCAGTGTTTCGTGAACAATGATGTACACGGAAACCTATATAAAAGGGAACTCATCTTACCATCATGCAAAATTGCTTCCACGATCAGAAGAACATCAGCAGATCCAATCACGATGAAGTCGAAGCTGCAACGAAATCTGGTCGTTAAGGCGAATGGGTTCATTTGTCAAGTGGGATGAACCTGGTGACACTTACACGTTCCAGAAGCGCTTGAAGAATTCCTCTCCGCCAAACGTGTACAGCTTCAGAAGTATCTCGATGGTGAACAGAGCCAGAAAAATCCAATCTCCCTCAACATCAAACCCGATGAAGATGGCATTAACGAGAATCAGGAAATCGAATGAGTACCGGAATATCCTGAAAAACCATAGAAAGGAAATCATCACCCGAAGCACCGAATTTGTGGAAATAATCTTTCGACCAAATAATCATGCTCCGAAAAGAAAAACGAAAAAAAAAAAGCTCAGTAAATATTGGGCAAGAGTTCCGACGAAGTGATAGCATGTTCGGCATAAGAACTAAATGTTGAGACGGGAAATTCAATATGATGCGCATCAAGCATGCTGTAGGTTTTTGCGGCAATCCCAATGGCTCAGGTTCGCTTTATTTCGCATAAGCGCTTCCCCAAGTTTGCAATAACGGTTTCAGCTTTTTACAACTACCCCCTTCGTTATTCCTCCCGCTCCTCACATTTCCTGGGAAATTTCGATGATACATTATTTCCAGCCAAGTGCGGTCTGACTTTCGCAAGCATTTCAGCAGAAATTGCCCCTTTAAGCACTACCGTTAGTTTCAACATTCCATCATTACTTCGTTCCGTTTTTCGAGGCATTCTCCACTGAAGTTCTTCAGCTCTGCTGATCAAAAATCTTTACAGATCCAGTAATCGGACTGTTGCATACAAACCCGTCTTTCCACACACGTCTTGCATTCAAATTCTAGAACATAACACCAGATATACAGGTGTACTAATAATATGACGTAGCTGGTAAGGTTCAATTATCTAGCGGTAGGGTTGATTTAGTTCATAGCACACAGGGGACAGATGCAACATGCGAGCATCGAAGCTATAATTGAACGAGGAAGGCGTATCAGAAATGAAACTCGGATATGCTTGCGTTCCGAAAATTTCGTGACGGCTTTACCTCATACGGACTAACTTCCGCAGAAATCGAGAGGGAGCTGCATTGTACACACTTGGCAGATAGATTTCGAACAGTTTCCGACGATCCGTAACTTCGCTGACATGAACATTCAACAAATCGGCGATGCCAAGAAATTTCCTCAAGGCTATTGGGGAAAGGGATCGAAATAATTAGGTAGAAATATTTGCGGTTTTCTTGGATACTAACTCAGGCCATCAGATCCATCATCGTCCAATACATTCCACAATATTTTGACGAAAGGTTTCGAGCGACCTGGCATAACGTATACAGACATCCAGGTCGAGAAAGTCGACCATGAAATCTCCTCTCCTTTCTCTTCATTTTCTCCTGCTGACGGGATCTCCAGACGGTTTATGTTGCTATTTTTCAACAAATGGAAAGCTTTGGCGACTAGTTTTCGCTTCAAATAGACAGCTTCTTTGATTTCATTCTGGAAAAATTCCCGTGTACGGTCAATCGTTGAAAATGAGATAGTGGAAATATATGTACTTACTTTCAAGTGTTTCTTGAAATTGTCAAAAATTACCGCTAGAAAAATGGACATGACAATGTAAAGACATATGACGATGCAGCTGCCAAAAACCAGAACGGACCAACGATTCATTTCAAAAGCTGGCATCCTGCGAAAATATTCTCCCTGCGCATCACGTCAACAGATACAACACAATGAAAAACTCACATCACATCGGGGTTGTTTGCAGTGGTAACCAACACATAAATATCGAAGAAGCTATCCAAGTAGTTTTGAAAATACGGGTCTCCGTTCGGATACGTCAGGTTTCTAAAACAAGAATCCTTCATCACATACAATTTTAATACTGTACTACCAACTTTACTCGGAGAAATAAAATCAATCTCGAAAAGCTCTTAAGAAAACTCTCGCAATGACAATCGTTTTTCCTGATTTTTTTTTACCGCGATCAAAGCCTATCGAGATTCTAGATACTATAGTTGAAGTTTTCAGCAAAATTTTTCTCGACCATTATATCATGTAAAGTCATCAGGTTGTCAACAAAAGCACTCTTTTTTTTTTATTCAAACTTTCAGAACAGGCTCAAAACTTACCTTCTTCCAAAAATTTTGAACGCCATCAGCGCAAAAAGCATGATGGACATGAGTAATAAGATCAGTAAATTGCGAACTTCCGGTAGCGTACGACGCAAATTTCTGAATGCCCTCCGTAAGTGACGATTTGCTGGAAAATTTATCATGAAGAGCGGTCTCAGTGGTCGAGAAAACCTGAAATTTAACGTCAAAATCGTGAAGCGTTTTCCAACTCAAATCTGGTACTGTAGTACGTACCGAAGTATGTGCTCGTCAGAAAACCTCATTCCCGTGTATACGCATATGTCCACGAAAGTAATCTAGAATACGAAGAGAACAATGACGATAAATCATTGACAAGCCAGGAAAATATCTATCTCGGCTACACAGCACTCATTAGAAAATCATAGCGAACATAAATAATAATTTACCAATATTGCCACAAGAATGGTGATGTATTTTGGGTCAGACCAAAACGTCTTTTGCTCCATAAAAATGTATATCGAGAGCAACCTTCCGAGAAAAACCAGCAGACAAACGAGCTCAATCGGGATGGTGACCTAAAAATGAAATGATGTATGAGTGATTAAGTATCACGCAAGTACAACAATTCAAAAACTAACACTGTATAGCGGAATTTCCTTACCCAATGCGTGACATGAAAACCAGGAATGGCGGGGGGTTCAACTAACGCCACAAGGAGGATCGTGGCGATGCTCAATTGTAAAATCAAGCTGAACCAAGGGTTGTGATACAGGACATACCGCCTGAACAAACTCAGGATTAGAATTCTAGGAAGACTTCGTTCACATGCCATTGCAGACGATGCCAGGCAGATGAAGAATAAAATTAAAATAAAAACCCTCACCTGATGAACGGTTGTTCTGGAATGAAAGGGAGGTTGTGACCATCTCGGGCATCCCGAATGTATACAGTAGCCAAAATATAATCCTATAAAAATTATGACAGTCACTTAACTTGACTTAAAATCACCAATTTTTATTGACTAAAACCTGATCGACAGCAGCTGTTATCCTTGGCTGTTCCGCGGATTGCTCATTCCTGGCTGAATTCACCTCACTGATCTCAACATCCCCTTCACAGGAAACTGCATTCAAGGTAGTCGATCCGTATTCTGCATTCATAATTCACGCGAGAGCTAAAATAAATATTTCAAGCCACTTCAACTCGCAAAAAAATATTTTTTGCATGCGATGTTCGGGTACATGCCATGCTATCTAGAAAATCATGTAAATTATATCAAAAATTCATCGGTCATCTTCATAGCTGACACCAGACAAAACTTCAAATACATAAAAGGAAATGGTCTGGACGAGGGCAACAGCTGAATGCAACTAGCACGCGCTTCCGAACAACTAACATTTCCAAGGCCTTCTCTCAAAGCGGAAAATGTCCAAAACCGGCGGAATATCACGAAAATCAACGTGACGTGTAAACTTTCTTAATACCACTCACACAACGACATCATATGGGACTCGCAGAAAATGCACATCGCTATGAAGCTTCTTTTTCAACTGTTTTTCAGAAAAAATATGGGTCAAACATTGCCAAAAGCTGTTCTGTGCAATGGTTAACCTTTCGCTTGTTTTCGATAGGATACGAGGGAACGGAAAGTCAGAGACAATATTTTGATTTTCCTTACAGCAATTCATGCATGAATTACAGTACTTTTGGAAATGGATACTGTACCTTGAGTGATCCATTTCCAACAAGCCTCTTTCTCACTATAGGTCAATCCCTGTGACATATCGCGACATTTTTTCGATTGAAATGTTCCACGATGTGTTACTAACCTTAAAATTATGGGATCCAGACAAAAACCGAGTTCAAAGAATTTCGCGAAGCGCGACTTTCGGAAGGTCCCCCCACGCCGAAAACCCGTCAATCCAATCTTCCATAAGGCACAATTATTCAACGCAACGGGGAACTAGAATTCAGAATTTAATTTAAATTACGCCATTCTTCGTGCTCATGCGCGAAAGGTGAACCCCCTCAGGTCGTCTTGCTTGAATCCGAATATCCGCCTCGCTCGGTCAGGTAGAATTTATCCCTTGATGGGATCTGGGATGCAACGGCTTCGATCAAACGCAGCAACACGTCTGCTGTTTTCATGGCCTGCCTTAAAGTCACTAGGATAATACAGCATCAAATACGATATTAATGTAGAATTGGGACACATTCAATGGTATCCTCTCTTCTTTCGTGCGCCCAGAATTAATGAAGGACGCCAATGGTTAACAAGATCCTGTACATGAATAATAAACAGCAAAAAAATTGATCCCATAATCAGACTGATACTGCAGTAACGTACCTTCGAACCCAACCTCTCCCATCAGACAACTTCCCCAATTACATACAGATTTTATATAGAATGTCAAGTGGGCATTCCATCGCCAAATCACCGGCCATCAACACAAGCACGCGCTAGGATGACGCTACCTTTCCTTATAGCTCGTAGTACTGTTCCATCCTATGAAAACCGGAGTGAATCGAACCTCACGTCTCCACACCAGAGTGTGAAAAATAAATTATCGTGAATTGCCTGCATTTCACTATAACTGCTGCATCCACGCAACATATTAATTTCACTAAAGCGTCGATATAAGCAGTCAGCATATTCACTAAGTCATAAAAATATGTACTTCTCCTCCAGTCATACTCTTGAAAGATCTTTACGCACACAATTTGGACAATCTCATCAATAATCAGATCCAAAAACGTTCCACATCCGACGAGAAGCAGACCGCCTCCAGTGAGCCGCGCGGACCTCTAGAATCTACGTCACGCAGTTGCTAAGGCTGGGTGTGCATAACTTCAGATTATGATACTGTAGTTATTTTGGCCCTGAACTCTTCACCCTTGGACGGTACTCAATGAAAAAGGAAAAATGTAGAACTAATTTTTCAAATCTCCCTTTGAATTTCTTTTGGCTTCATCACAAAATGTCGAATTCGGAAACAGGAAACCCGTGAGACGGTTGCATTTCTCATGAACGGGAAGGTGGTATAGTGCAGTACACATGCTCCCATGCTCGCGAGCTGGAATTTGCCGGATTCAACAATCTCTCGATAGCGCTTCCTTGTTCAATTGTGGGGAAGTGGAGATCCGTGAGCAGGTGTGAGCAGGTGCGATACTGGGTAATGTTAACTCTTACGTTTTTGTCTGTGCGTAGTGAAACTTGGAGTTTTTTTGAACTACCTGTGGTAGAGGTGATAGTTTATGCATGGCAGTGCATTTCGAAGAGCTCAGCGTGCACAGTCGAGCTGGCTGTAAAATTGTGCCTTGCCATTCATCTTCCGAAGAACCGTCGGTGTGGCTTCAAGTAAAACTACATTAGTTTCAGATTTTTCTGAGATTCCGATGCAGCACCTGAAATAATTGAGAATGATTCAAGCGAAACGCTTGTGTTGATTCCGTGGAGTGAATAATTGTCTGACGCGAGGGCAATTGTCATGTAGCTTCTTGATGGATCCTCGGTTTATCTCGTGTGGACCAAATCAGAATCGCCCGTTTGTGAGGTGCGTTTAGATCCTTTTCGCCGTCTGGAAGAGCGATTTTGATGGAGGATTCGTCATGATTCCGTTGGGTTGCACTGATTGAAGATCCGAGTGTATGTCGTGAAGCGGATGATAAATAATCCGCAGAATAAATTAACTGATGCTATTGCGTGATTAACGGAGAGATGATTGTAGAAAACTTTAAGGATAATCGTTCTGCCTTGTGTGACCAAAGAAGAACAGGTTAGTTTTCTTTCTTCGATGAAGAGAACATTCATACTTTTTCGAGTATGATGAAATGCAGTAGTAGAAACACATCTTAATTTATATTTACTGGGACAGTACCGGTTACGTGAATTTTCCAATAACGGACTCATCGAAATCCTGTTTTTGACGCTTGTTTCAGGAGAATGGAGTGCATTAAACACATTTCTGAAGTAATTTGCCCGCTATCTATCTAGATTAATTAAGAACTCGATAAATTTGCATGTTTCGGATGAATATTGTATTCCCTTGTTCTCTCTGTGGAGTATCGAGTACTGCAACACTTGATCTTACTTGCAGTTGGGAATGTGTTGGGGGAAAAAACAACTCGTGTATTATGAATTCTTCTCTTAAATGTGCCATTCATCTCTCGAACTAATAACTTCTTTGGGTACGTACAAGTCATTAACTGAACTCACCATGCTGAAAGATATTTTTCTTTGATATTTCTAGAAAGGAAGGCTGTTCGGGAATTGTGTGCTGTTTTTTGAATTTTGAGGTTTATGGGAGCGACTGTAAAAGCTGTTAGTGATTGTAGAACATACTTTTTTCGCTCGTGATTATCTGTACAAATGCGTCTTAATTCAGATAATATAAGTGCCACTGTATAGTATTTTATTCAGGTTTCTGTTTCTTCAACTTCATGAATCCCAAAATTTGAAGCGTCGACTTTTTTCTACGTTTTTCTTTTGCCTTTACGTGTTTCATGAGTATTCTAAGAATCTAATCTGAAATTTGGCACGGGCCCTTGATTCAATCGTCGGTTGATTTTTGCCAAAATACTGAATCAAAGCGAATGTCGTCAAATGATTGTCCCAAAATTTTACCCTCTCCGCGAATATCCCTTTTTGAGATTGAGCTGGAACATGCTCAGGTTTACACCGAGAAATTCATGGAGTCCTCATAAGCAATTCAGTAATTTGCTTTTTAGAAATTATTATTTTCCTAGTTGAAGCGCGGAAAAACATTACGAAAATTACGTTCTTGCAGTTCCGCATAATAACACGCGAGGCTGGTTGCCATAAAGTTAATCGCCTCGTCGACCGGCATGCGAAGAACGCATTCCCTCCAAAACGTATCCTCCGCGCAGATCTGGTCGAATAATGAAGTACCTTTTCTCTGCGATATGTTCATCTGGGTTGGTTGAAATCGGCGCTTTTGGTAACACTGCCGAACTCAGTGGAACGCGGCGGTGGCGGTAAGCCCACGAGTAATGGAAGAGAACGATGCCCCAAGGCTGATCATGTACGCGTATGTCTGGCGCTTTTGAATCGTGTTCCCATCCCGAAGACTTCGGCCTCTCGGCTCCTGTCGGTAGTCCGGGGTTGCCTGCTCGGAGGCGAACTACGGTTAGTTTCGGATTCCCGCTTTGAACCTTCCCACCGCAGTTCTTTTCATCGTGTGGAATGCGAGATTTTCCTGGGCCAGCGACTGGCCTCTCAACAGGTGCTGCGTCAATTGCGAGAAAAAAATCAAATGGGGGCAGAAGAGAGTGGAAATGTAATTTAAATACATATCTCCAGCTTTTAGTTTAAGGACACAGATGCAGCATAGATGGAAAATCGAATGGCTTTTTGTGTGTGCAGAAATCGTGAAATACTACTGCGTCATTAGTTCAGACTTCGGAATGGAAGCATTTCATATTATCTTTAAAAATGGTCGATTGGACGAATAACGAATACTGTCGAGTGGAGTGTATGGATAAAAAAAGCTTTGAAGAACGTCTTGTAATTTGAAGTAGAGCTATGGGTAGTTTTGGCTGGCTCACTTGTCTTAAAGAAGATACACTCAAGTAAAAATTTGAAAATCGATGTTCCTGTGATTATCTGAAGTGCTGTAGCGTCTGTTGAACCAAATATTTCTTCATTTACCCTACTGACAAAACTTATCTCTCGAGTTAATATTTCCCTATCAGGCCACGCCATAAAAGCGGTTTTTTTTTTCTTTTTTTGAGCGGGAAACTTTCGGGTGGGAAAAAAGTTTGCATACTGACAGTCGCGCTTGAACTCACGATTCGGCAATTCAATGTGTGACCCCCTTACGTGTAAATTGTAGTACGTACAGTACATCTTAACCCTGTTGAACCAACATGGATGTAAGCTGTAACCATTGGTTTATCAATAGTACAGAGCCAATGGTTAAATTTGCGTGCTAACACTAATGCTGTATGTCTGAGTATTGACTGAGTCAAAATTGGTCTTTGAGTATTTACGCACAAGGTTTTGTGTTTTCTGGCCCCCAAAATTAGGTATTTTTGCTCTTCGTTATTTTTATATGGAATTCCATGGAATGTGATTCTTGAACTGTTCCAGACATTCAGGAATTCTGATTGCTCCGTTCAGTGTAGTTCATGATTTTTACTTCATTGTCGCTTTTTTTTTCAAGTCCTGTTCGGTTGAGCAAATATGATTTGTTGCTCCCAAATTCAATCTTGTTCGATGATGTAATCTTTTAGTATGAATCGTTCATAGTTAAT